AAACTGGCCATTTGACAGACTAATTTCTTGAACACTTTCGCTTCTAAACGATACACATCTACTGCGAATTACACGTATCTAGGTACAATTGACTTAATCGTAAATCACTTTAATTCCTGAAATCTCTTTAGTTCGGCGTTGCACAATTCCATCATAGCGAGTTGCAGTTCTAGAGGCATAAATCCTCGAGGTCGTAAATTTCTTTCATCCCAAAGGCGATTGCGATCGGTCGATCCTCCGAGGCTAGCCTAATTTCCAGCGGAACTCGAGCATCCGCGAAGAAATACGCGGCGAGCGCGAACGCGCCGGTCGACCGACTTGTATTTACTCGGACGATTTCTGGTAGAACGGTGGGGCGAAGATGTTATATCGTGGCAGGGGCCAAAGAGTAGTGGAGGCTCGGCTATTCTCGGTAAGCACTCGCCTCGTCGTGGCTTGCTGCCGTTGTAATAACCCCCGTAGATCATACAAGCGCACGCACACCAACGTCTCGCAGTCTTCTTCGATGCAACGGAGAGCAGCACACGGCCTCGAACACCAGCACATATTATTCATTGAATGGAGGAGCGACTCGATCCGGCTTCGAAACACACGACACAGTTTTACTTGGCGGGAGCAGCCCTTAACCCTTTAACACCGGTCGTTCCGATCGTCTTGGGATGCTTTATCGATCTAAGTCGAGGAGGGACCAGTAATCGATGCTTTGGCCGATCGATGGGCTCTCGAGGAATTTGCTGGGTTGCAGAGCAGTGGCTCTGCACTCGTTAACGTAGAGAATTGCTTGAATAATCGTGCGAATCACGGCAATCCGGGGGGTTGTACACGATGCTGGGATATTAGTCGGATGTTAGTAGAACTGCGAGCGATAGTTAATTTATTTGGCCTCTTGCGATGTGAAGCGTTCCTGACGTTTCGAAGCAGGAAGTAAGAAAGTAACAACCTACTGACTCTAAGTAGTTTCTGCGTCGATTAAAATTTCCGACGAAATTAATATACCTAGATAAAATGAAGGATGAAGAAGCGGATTACTATTTTATGATGGCTTTTGGGATATAATGGAGCAACGAAAGGCTATAACGGAGCGAGTGTGTACTCGATAGTGGCAAGAAACGAGTGAAGCATCGTGAAAGAAGCAGCAAAAGTGCGTTCGAGACAACTGCAACCCGTATAACTCGTGCTTCGGGCAGATTTATACGGGGTTCGTTGGAACACGACGCTCGGTGAGAACTGTCTCGAGAATTCGATGCTCCATCACGGTCAAGCTTCTCATGACCAACATGGTTGCAACTTCTTTGAAATCTTGCTGTGCACCAAACCGCGTAAGAATCGTGTTGAGGCATTTAATTCGGTACTTCATCATGGACAGCATTTCATGGTTAATGTTGTTACAACTTCCCCGAAATCTTGACACGTAAGCCGTGCGACAACTTGACGATTCGATTCCTCGTCGCGTTCAAACTTCCAATGACTAAAAGGATTAACGATCTCTCGCGTGTTTGCAATTCCTTTAATTTCAAAATGTTTGCAATTTCTTCAGAATCTTTCGTCTCATCTTCCCATCTCAAAGACTAGCCACGATCGTCGGAGGCACGCGAGTATTCGTTTCATTCGGTTCAATACCGATAAATCACGACGATGCTCGAATCTTCACAATTGTATTATTTATGAAACTATCAATAGGGTAATTTATTCGCGGGAGCCGGCCGCGCGATTCTTCAACAGCGGTCCCTGGAGCAGGATTTATCGCCGGCCGGGCGAAAAATGCAACGCTTTTTAATCCGGGCTCGGTGTCCGGCGCGGTCGAGTCGCGCGAACCTACAATGTTCCCTGTGATTTATCAATCGGCTCGCGGAGGATTAACAGTCGCCGCGGAACCGGTAATAGTCGATCGATCGATATTAAAAAACGACAACGAACAACACCGCGTGTCCGCTAAATTAATGGATCCACCGGTACCAGCGTAAAGGTTCTCGTTAATCGATTGAAATCGTTCCCTCGGGCAACGCTCGTGGCATTTGTTAATTCCTCTTAACCTCGTCACTATATTTCGTATCTAGTAGGCGCAACCTGATTTCCCGTTAAGACCCTCTATCTGTATCCCTGTTATGCTTTTCAAGCCGGTTTTCATTAAAACGAGGCAAAATCCTGGCGCTTTGTTAGCGTTTTCGTAACTCAAGCCACTCGTTCGATCGTTAAGGCGAGTCGCGCGACGCAATGATTTATCAATAGCTTTGCGGAGGATTTACAGGCGGGACAGGACCGGTAATGGAAGGCAATCGACCAAGCCTTTTAATCCTCTTACATCGTTTTACGTCGCCTCTGCGGAAGTGTCTACGACGATCTTGTCCACCCGGTGCTAACGATCGCGATCCTTTTTCTCGTAATTTTCACCTCTCTCTTTGGTCAATTACAAGCGATGTAAATCTGTTTGGTTTATCGTCGAGAATTGTGGCTAAATTCTTCAGACTTGTCTTGTCACTTGCTACATAAATTTCTGTTTGAAAATCCGTGTGTTAATCCATCGCTACCGAGATTGGGCGTCATCGATAGCCCTTGACGATAGTGTCGCCATGCATATTTATTCTAGAGAATTTTCCTGCGAATTTCTCTTGATTATCGTAAATTATTTGCTACGAGAAAGAATTAGCGTCGACTACCAGGAAACTTGAAGAAAAAAGAGGAGACTAATAAGATAGTAGCGGAAACTGGAGGCTCAACAGCTCGTAACTAATTATCCTAATTGAGGCGGTTTCGCGCGTTGGATGTCGCACGTGTACAATTATGGCGATGGGGTTATGTGGCACGCGACATAGCTACGTGCAAGCGTGCAACGCACTGTATGGACGCATGTACCGCCTTCGTACACACGTTTCTTTATAAAGTCAGGACAACCGTGGCGCATCACCTTCCTTCTTGGTTCGTCTCTCTCTCTTGCGATACGATGTTTCGTGACCGGTCGGCATTAATTATGTGTCGTGCCCTTTAATACGAATCTCGGCTTTATGAGCGACGCGGAGGAACAAGAGGAGGAAAAAAAAGAAGGAACGAGAGCGGAGGCGAAGACAAAAGGACGTTCCCGGCGACGGAATTATTTTTTCGCGTCTGGCCACCGGACCATGGAATCCCCTTCCCTCTCTTCGTTGCCCCGTTCCTCGTCTCTATTTCTCTGCGTGTCTTCTATTTCGTCGGAACGATATTTATTCGGTGTTCTCTGACGAGGGTCCAGCTGTTTTCGTCCATCCATGATTTCTGTGAAACGACGAGAGTTTGATTGCGGTCCGGTTGACTGATTGGACGGTCCCGAGCCCGGACGTCGAGTCACGCTTGCGAAAAATATTCGCGAATCTAGCTCTTCTCCGCTCGATTCGCCCTGGATGCTGTAACGATCCTCTCTATCTTCTCTCTCTCTCCTTTTCTCTCTTCTTTTTTTTCATTCTGCTGGCTTTTTCGTGATGAAAAAAACCCACAGCCGGTCGAATTCGAAACGAAATACGAGGCATACGGACGATGGATGGAATAAAAAGGAAGAGCAAGGAACACAGAAACGACGAAGTAGAAAGGGGAGCATTCACAAAAAGCGAGGGAAAATCCATCGATCACGGGAGGCGATGCAAAGACACTCGGGGAGAGACGTACCCGTGGCTCTATCTGGTGAGGATCTCTCATCCGGGGCCGTGTGTCATCTCAATCGTCCGACCGAAAGAATTCCTTCGTGTTGGTGCGCCGTTTCAGCTAATAAAATCATCTGCATCCGGGCCAGAAATTATCTGACGAATTCATCTGCTTATCAAGCAATAAAATGGCCTCTCTCGCGCGTCCACCTCTGCCGATCCTATCTCTTCTCTCCACCTTTCCTCCTGGTCCCTTCCACGTCTCGCGTAGGTGCCTAGACACATCGTGGCGCCATGCCAGCCGAACCTTTTCGGTACGAACACATGTGCTTGCTATACACGCATATACATCCTCCTTTGGTCGTTCTTTCCTTGCTCGATTTTTTATACTGCCCGTTCAATGCTTGGACAGACGCCGTGCGCCTTTACGGGTTCGAGTATCGGGGGCCAGTTTAATAAGGTCCCTATACGTCCCCCCTTGCTCCGTTCTTCCCCGTGATATTTATAATCCCGCGAGGAAACTGTTTTTATAATCTTACATAGAAATCTCGGAGCCTTCGCGAGCTTAGGTGTGCGTCTTCTTTGCCGTTTCGAGATTTTCGACGAAATGCGGTAGCTTTCGCGAAGTTAGTTTCGGAGCGTTGAAGATACTGTGCAGGAAATTTAAAAGAATACGGAACAGAACGCTGAAGATCAGAAGATTAAAGAGGAATATTAATGTTAAGGATGAAAGCATGGGTTGGTATTTAAGGTATTTAGAATTTGACAAGTTAGAGATTTTTAGATTCAATGAGAAAATGCTTAGTCGTATCACGATATAGAAGAAACCGATGTTCCGGTTTCATGGTTGGAGCAGTAAAATTCTCTCGTAAAGGCAGGTATAGGCCGTGCAATAAAAGAAACGTTAATTTCCTCGCGTTAAAGTTATTATTTATTGATACGACGTAATCTCAGGGCCGAGATCAAGGGAGATGCTTAGTCGGCCGATATTCACCCGAAACTGCGCGCCAGTCGGATTCCTCGTCGCATTTTATTATCTCGATCGTTCATAAATTTCGTTACAATACAAGTATAAAGTATCCACCGCCTCCGCGATACGAAAAAGGTCGTCCTCGGGGTCCGGGAGGTATCTTCGCGTGGAGCATTGTCATCGTTCGGGCAACTTTTCAATAATCAATTATACGACGTTAAAATCGTATATTTATGAATTCCTTTTTTCTACGGGAACGATGACAAAAACCGAAAGCAAAAGAGAAAAAAAGTAAAACTGATACTCTGATATTAAAGTCTCGATAAAGAGCGAAGTATTCCGTGTTATTTTCGATCGTTTCGTAAATTTCGAAAGAACAGGTGTAGATGATTCAGTACCGACGAATAAACCAGACAATATTCTAATATATCGCATCATCAATATATTTCAGATCTTTGCAAAACAAATATTATAATACGATGCAAGGTATGGGTGGATGAACAAGAGATGCATTCTCATCCAACAACCTAAGCATATATGTAACGAAAAAGGAAAGAAAGAAAATTATTACAATAATTATTTGAACTCGCTTGGTTCGAGCCGTAGGTGTCTCGTTTCTCTCTCTATATTTACAGCATATCACACATAGAAATTATAGCAGTACAATATTTTACAAATGGAACCATCAGCCCTCGAATTTCTATTAATCTCGCAACGTTTTCGTCCTTATTTCCCGCTCGACGACGCAAACTAAATAATAATGATCATAATAATAATATATACAACAATAGTACGTCTGTTTGGACGTGACTTCCCTTCTTTCCTTCTTTTTTCCAATTTTCTGTCCCGCAAACCAAGCACGTCGCTCGGTTTTAAAACACCGTTTCGCTTCACTATCAACGTTTTAATTAGACTTAAGCCCGCGAGAAGCGCGTACGATCGGTCGTGCTCGAGGAACAATTAAGCCGGAACCCAGCGAGTCGTTCTTTCGTTTCGCGATTGATAAGTCGGAACACGAACGTGGCTGGAATTACGAGACACGGCGCCGTTGGAAATTGCTTCGACTAATTTGTAACGCCGTGATTGCCGAGACACGATTTTTCGTAGCTAAGAACACATGGCAGTGCCCCCCCCCTCTCTCTCTCTCTCTCTTAATTTCTTTTTTTCGTGTTTTTGTTTATTTCTCGCGTTTACTGCAACGGCCATAGCACTTGGTTTAAGGTTCATTCGTATTTACAATCGCACCTCGCCATCTAGATAGAGGTAACTCTCTGTTTGGTACATCGCAGCCCGAATTCTCGACGATTATTACATATACAGTTACGTTCGCGTTTGTATCGCGTTTAGCATCCGTTAATACGATCGTCTTCCGCTTTTTCTCTTCCTTTATATTCTTGTTGATACAATCGTACTGGTAAATAAATACTAACAACACTCGAAAGTGTGTGTTTTCCTAACTTTGGTCACGAGTGTAGGTAGCATTACCTATTTTACAATCCCATTGTCAAATTTGCGGAACAAGTAACCTTGCCGTACTATTACGAAAAACGATCATCCGCGAATACATAGAGTAGAATTCCATTTATTAAAAGAAGAAAAAGGAATTTACAATTAATAACACGAATCCGATTAATTGAACTCTCATCCATCGAGTTCGTTTATGTAAACGAAGAAAATCATAGGTACTGAAAAAGGATCGACAAACTCCTATTGATTCGAACTTCACTTACATCTAGCAACAAGTTCAAAGGAATAAAGTTCTATTGTAACTTATTTAGCACTTCCTTGTGGTCCTCCATTTCTTCTTCGAATAACAGTTTTCAAAAACTCCGTTTTCCCTCCATCGAACGTGTGATCAAACTCGATTTTGATTGCCGACATCGACTAACGTGTATGTTCGTTGAGGTTGCGTTGATCTTGCCCGAGCAATTGGTCATATGGTTCGTTCCCGGCAAGAATTAATAGGCAGTCGCTTGGTGATGCATCAGCGGGTTGAAGTGGTGCGGTCCAAGATGATGGGGCGGCGGTGGACCCGGCAACGGGCTGTGCTGAGGACCCACAGTTGGTGGCTGACAGACGTACCACTCCGTCAACTCTGGGCCTCTGGTCGAAGGATGACTCGACGGAGGATTGGTCGTGGTCGTTGTCGGGACGACCGGAGGCGGTTGAGGAGACTCGGTGTGTCCGGTCACGGACAAGCTACCCCCGCTGCTAGTGCTCTCTTCACCCTCGCTTTCATAGCCCCCTCCTATTTTGCCTTCGCCCAGGGTCATGCCGTGCACCTGGAAGTAAGAGGCGGAGCTTATTCTTAGGTACTCGCTGGAAATTTCTAGCTAGTAGCGAGCCTACTAGTCGCCCTTCCCAGGGGTAGGAACCGATGAATGTGTAAAAGGTGGTAGAGGGGTGAGAAAGATAGCAGGGGCTGCGTGGTTTGGGAGTTGAAGTTGAAACGAATCCGGGGGAACATCGATCGTGTTTGTTGAAGATTCCTTGAGTTTCTGTTTTCCTGGTGTTTATCACATTAAAATTGATATTACGTAGCATTAGTGTCATTTGTTGTGGACTACTTGGGATTTTCCTTTTCAATTTCATACATGGTAGCTACAAAAATGCCCGCTTTCCAGAAATACGTGTACAACTCTCCGATTATTAACTATTGCGAGCGACTTTATCAAGGATGAGGAGGATTAAACGTATAGGTTTGTTTGATAAAGAAACGAGTGGATGAATTCGTAATAGTCCTATGTATTAAAATCAGTATAAGAGTTAGTGTATGCCGGTTGTAATCGTCGCTCGTTCAATGCTACTATGCCGATCAAAGAAAGGATAATAATACTGCCTGTTAGGGAGCACATTCATATATTTATATCGATGGATGTTACACAAAATCTTAACCTTCTTACGTAACTCTGGCTGAAAATTACAAGACAACAATAACAATGCGTCCAGAGTCCAGTTGCCTGTAGACCTTGAAAACCAAAACAATCGTTAGTATTCAAAGGCACAATAATATGGATTTCTCCTAGATGTGAAATTTTTATGCTCATGTGGCGCTACAAGTATCTTCAAAATTTTGCGTAATGTCTTTGTGATAAACTGCGTGGTAGTTCGAACGTTCTTTTCCTAACTTTTGCGTAGACTCATTTCTCGCCCTTTGGACGATAGAACTACATATCTATCCTTCGGCGATGGTTGAGCCTCTCAATCGATTCTGCGGAGGCGAGAAATCTCGTTCGAGACACATTGTTATATACTTAATATCGCTACTGCTGTTTTTCAAAACTCGATCGATAAAAAATACAGGAATTTCAAAAATTACGTGCATCATGCAATCCCATATTAGACCTAATGACACAGTTGCATGATACTTGATTTGTTTCGAATGACCTAATTTACGTTTCCACGAGTTAGTAGAATGCACAACGTGAAATATCGAACGTGTACCACAGAAGAAAGCGTAGATAGTCGTATTCGATCGTAGTAAGTTATCGCTTCGGAGATCAAGGGACTATCACGAGCAAAAGGAGTGCGCGTTGGCTAAACCGAAGAAACCGGGATCAGGGAGACGAGGATCAAGTCTTCCGACTCTCTGATTCTTTCTGCCGTCTCTTTCTAGTCCTTCGTTCATAATTCAGTGAGCAAATCTCGACGACTGCCTTCCGCGAATCACGGCCGGCGAAAAGCGTGGAGAAGCGAAAGGTGCTCGCTCCTATCCGACGAACCTATCGCGCACGTATCTCGGGAGTTGCCGTTTTGGACGGTTCTGCTTCTCTTTCCGTCTACTATCTTTCTGTGTGTGCCACAGATAATTTCCTATTAAGATTCCGTAGCCGTTCGTGCATGAACCTTTGCGCGCCTGGATACCCGGCAGCCTTTCTTCCCACAACCGTTTTTTGCCCATTCCAAAGTGTCTACTAGCGTTTCCTAGCGTGAAACGAAATGGCAAACACGATAGGGCCATTCTTCATATACTTTGATACGCGCCTACGTATATGTGTGCAAGATGATATAGGAAAACAATTCGAGACTGAACCGTGAAAATACGGAATCGCGTGAAATGGACGATTAACACCGTTGAGCATTCGTAATTTAATTCCGAAGCAAGGAGTAGCGAGGAAACGGATGTAATTTGGAATGAAATTATAATTCTTCGAAGCAGATATCTAACATTTCGTCGGTATTAATGATTTTGATTAGGAAAATTAGAATTGCTAATCCTTCAAATAATAATTCCTTCGTTTGGAATTTTTCCGTTTCTATTCATGTCAGTGAATTATATAGTGATTTTTTAATATTTTTCTATTAATAGCGACAAAGGCTACGAAGTATAACAATTATTAAATATTTAATTGTAAAATCGTCGATTAAAAGGAAACCTAGTTAGCTCGAGAGAGCTTCCTTGCAATTATCTCAATTTCAAAGCAGAAGCTTCGGCTCAGTTCGCTGACTTTCGGTTGAAATGAACGAGAGAATGACGCACGGTAAAATTCCATAGTTTTATAAATACGACTGAAGAAATGAAACTTAAATAGAAGTTTGTTTCATTTTCTAAATGTTATAGCAGATCATTTACTTTGGATATCTATATGTGTTCGTATATTATATGCATCGTGTGCTCTTTCAATTTTACTATTCAAATGCGTAAACATCCGTAGTTTACTGATAGTAAAGTGGAACGGAGGTCGAATGCTTCACGATTGCAGACGACGTACCTTCATATGCTTGCGCAACGAACTAGGATGTGTATAGGACTTGTCACAGCCGGTAACTCGACAATTGTACGGCTTGTCGGACGTGTGGACGTGACTGTGCTTCTTACGGTCGCTGCTGTTCGCAAACCGCCTCTCGCAGCCTGAGTATTCACACTTAAACGGTTTCTCGCCTGGAAAAAGAAGACAGGAATTAATGACTTGTAATTGTGCTGGCTGCACTCGTGCCTGGCTACGATAATTGAAAACCGCTTCGGAATCACAGGAAACTAACAGCCTGGAATAGAAATGTAATTGCTACATCCTTTCTCTATCAATAACATGTGCAACATCGTACAAATGATTTAAATGTAACGCGAAGAAAATGTCCCTTATACGAAAGATCCTTGTTTATACGACGTTGAGTCTCTATTATTTGAATTGCGACCGAGAGTAATTTCAGTTATACAAGTACCAATATTTATTTCTATGAAATTATAAGTAGATTATATGGATATTTGTGCAAATATTTGTTATCTACATAATTATAATATATTACAAAAAAAGACAAAATCTGGGTAAAAAATTATTTTATCTTCCCATAAATGTATAAAAATTCTCATCTTACTTTACGTCTTATCGAAATCTGAATCCAACTTCAGCTAAACTTTCTCGTTACTTTCTTGTTCAAAAAAGTTGAAATTCTTATAGATAAATTCTATTATCCGAACTAATAAAAAGTGCTGCAAGGGATACGTAGACCGAATGTCTATCCCATCCGAAAATCATACGATTTGCTTAGTCCGGTCGTTCTGTTCGGATAATCAAGGTCCCACTATAATTTAAAAGGAAATGCAAACAGTATCTGGATACACGATCGTCGAAAGTTTCCAGGGAAACGCAGTTACATTTCTAACCGGAACAGCCTAACTATTCACAATTACAATTATCAGGAGGCCAAAGAAGGATCTTGAACGAAGTAGGAAGGGGCTGGTGAAACACGGAAACGGGCAACAGGAAAAATATTTTCTCCGGGGCAAAGAGGAAAAGCTCGCGGGCTTCTCGTAGAAGCTACAATAGGCGGCTCGAACGCGATTACATCGTATCGCGGACCGTTTCATCATGATTTCGTGGATATCTTGATGAGCACCGGTGGAACATTCTCTCCGCTGGTGGCTCCTTTTAGCCCGGGGGCGAAGAGAGGCGCAATGATATCGAGAGATAAGCTCCCCTGCACACGAATAGCCGCCGTCGTCGGGGCGCAACGAGACCGTGTGGCGTGACTCTTATTTATTTCCACCGGAAGTTGACTGGAATATATTTTACCGTCGGCTCACACCCCCGCCACCCCCCGCGGCCCCACACGCCGTAGACTCCCTTTTTCCGGGACTTCCTCCTGGCGCTCTCTCGGAGAAGTGCGGAGACGCGAGAACAGGAAGCGCAAACTTGGCGGATTTTTTATGGGGAAAATGGTGGCCAACTTTGCCCTTTTTCGCTTAAGGGAGTCAGGGAGAAAAGGGAACGTCGCACGGATTCAACATCTTAGCCCGTCAACTATAGAGACGAAGATTCTCTTTCTTAATATTTTCTGTTTAAAAATATTATTTCAATTTTTTTCTTTTTTAATTGGAAACTATAATCGAGAAGGTCGGAATTAATAGAAGAATAATAGAGATCTTGTTGCGACGAGTAGCGTTCGTTTTCTTCATTATGAAACGTTACGTAACGTGCGTTCCTCTTTGTAATTGTGCGAGGAAAATTGATATATTTACTTGGAATTAATTTTCATCGATGAAAACCAACGAGTAGCGCGAGCATACGTGTTAATTCTGAAATCTCCGCCGGAATCTGTCCGGATCCTAGAAACGTACGAGAGTTAACGTCAAAACGTAATTAGAATAACAAACGTATGTTCGTATTTCATATTTTTGAATAATTCACCGACTGGTTGCACGATGGCAAATCGCGAAATTCATTTTTCCAGCGTGGTATCGCGAGGAAAGTCTGGACGTTGGGCGCGAATAGGTACAAAGAAGCATGGTGGCTTTTCGCGTACATGCCGGTGAACGTCGTTATTCATCTCACGTGTGAAAAGCGCGATAACATTGCCATGTTACAGTGACGTATCGCCGCGACACAGATTATATTTAAATCGCTCGGACGTGGAGTGCGGGTACTTATGGCAGCGGCGTCATAAGAAGGCGTCTTAAATATTTATGAAGCTGGAAAGATAGCGGTACGCGCGAGCGCGCGCGTTCTCCCTGTGTCGCCGCCTTATCTGACGTTTCACATGCCTCAAACTCCCTCGACTTGCCACCATCGGTGAGATTTCAACGTTGTTTGCAATTTGCGGACGATATACGTGTACGCTCGATACGCTGCGAACCGTATCGAGAAACTTCATTAAAGAAAATGTACGATTACTGTTCGAGATTTCGTTTATCAGCTTGAAAATTTCTGTAGGAAAAAGAAAGTAGAATAACTTTAGTACTACGTACTTTTTTTATTCAATTATATTTAAAAGACAGTATTTTTGACTCTGGTACCACCACATTGTTCAGAACTTTCTATTTCTCTGTTTTTACAAGTTTTATATTTCAATTGCAGATAGTTTTAACACTTAGTCAACCGAATATGGAGATCTCCCCTCTGTAAAGTACATCGCTGCGTGATCGAACGGGGAGATCTCCCTTTTTGATTTTTGCAGCGCGTTTTCATTTTTTTTTTTCGTTATTATATTTTCGTTATTATTTCGTTATTATATTTTCGTTATTATTTCGTTATTATATTTTCGTTATTATTTCGTTATTATTACCTGGAATTGTTCCCAATTAATTGCATCACTTTTATAAAGTACAGTACGTACTAAAATACACCAATCTAGTGGCATTCAAATTAATTAAAGAATTACACTATCAGTTCTGACTAAATAAAGTTATAACGATACCACATTGTAAAAAATATTAATTTTACTTTTTTTTTTACAAAGGAGTTTATTTAGTCCAGAAAATACAGATTTTAAGTACATTATTCACAATAAACATGAACTTTTGTAATGGTATATTAGGCACAGGTACCGATACGCGGCGGTACGACGTAGCCATGCTGTATTATGTGTCGGCGCTTTACATTTTTTGTTGTATGATGCAGTTTTTGGATTTCAGCCTCTGGGGGGCGGAGCTTTTTTTTTTTATTTTTTTTCTGTCCTGAAAAACTTGGTCGCAAAACAGGACGCTTCGTAAAAAATATTAATATTAAGTAACTAATGACTTAGACGAACTATATTATACTCCATTACTTGTTTCCGTTGAAACTAAATTGAAATTATTCTCAACTAGATACAACGAATTTCGTTTCACACTCTTTCGTAGCTACTATCGCAGTTACTTTTTCCATAGTTGCAAATATTGAACTTGTTTCATTCGTATTATTAAAGAAATTTGTGAACTTGCTTCATAAAACCGTTATAAATTTTACATCCGACCGATGATATTGGCAATTTTCGATTTCGATGGTTTACGAGACAAGAGTAGGTCGCTTCGTTCCGCCCGATTCATCGCGAATGGATCTCCACCCACAGATTCGCACCTACTCGAGAAACCCTTCTCGGGGGCCAATCGAGAAAGACAGAGTGAAAGGGACGAGGGTTCCGAGGTGCCAACGACGCTCGGTTTATCCCTGGCCCGCACGTATAAAAGGAGAATGTATCCCTGAGTTTCTGTGGCGCGCTCCTTCCAAAAACGGGACGATTAATAACTTTTCAAATCTGTCCCCGGCAGGGTCGTGAGCCCGCCGGGACCGCTTCGGTAGCGAGCGCGTTGGCAAATAAATAGCAGATAAATAAAAGCTCGCGTCTCTCCTACGTCGTGCATTCTGTCGTGCGCGCACAGGGTTGCGTGTGCAGATGGCAACAATATGCCGTGAAATATTGCCCCCGTTGGTCGTGTGCGGGGTTCTGTACGCGTGTGCGTGCCTCGTCCAATAGGAAGAGGCCTCGATACACGCCCGATCCCGTGGCTACGTGTCTCTCCTTTTTACCTCTCTTCGCGAGACACTGAGATCCAAACGTAAGGGAGAAACGAACAAGACAGTTGCAGTAAGCTTGGAGAATTCTGGTTAAACATTAATATCGTGACGATTGCAATGAAAGGGGTGGCTTCTTGAATCTCAATACAAGAGCGATTGCAAGTAATTTGCTTAGTTGTTAAGTAATTGGCTAGTTGATATCGGAAGATGGGAATTTCATTTGAATCGCTTAGTCTTGATGCGTTCTGCTTTTTTTCCAGTACGAAATATGTTATATGATTCAATTCAGAGACGTGAAATTTCTAATTAGTTATATGGTATTCGATATAGAAATCAATTCATCATTTTACGCATAACTTCCTGTGTGCTTGCGATGCGTTCTTGCCTTTTCGGAAATAATACAATAAAATATGTCTGAAGTGCGTGTCTTGTTCTTCCATTTTTAAATTGGGATAAAAATGAAACTAAGTAACTAATCGATACAATTTTCATACTAAGTTAAAGGTGGAAGTCCAAACAACAAGAAAACAATATAGCTTAGGTGCTTTGAACACGTTGACAAAACAAAGGAACGTGCTAAGACCAGCTATTGACAAAATCCGCAATTACTTAGTTGCCAACTCAATCATTCTCAAATTACGATGCATCTTCCTTTAGACGAAGGGCGTGAATCAGTTTTCCGCATTGACATGTCAATTCTAGCCTTTTCGACCTTAGATTTCCTAGTTAGTATCTGTAGGCTCTAACAACGATCAGAGTTTGATCTGTTCGCAGAAAAATACTCTATATAATGTGACTCATATTGGCATTCGTACAAAGAGACGAAGAACACGGGTACATTCACGAAAGTGCATTGTACGAGAGGGAAGAGTAACGCGAAAGAGTAAGCTTGCACAGGGGACACGCAGACGCGTATACATAAAGTGGAGATTCATGGTGCAGTGGGTTATACACAGTGTATCGTGGCTGAGGCAAGAGGGAGACCCGAAGAGCAGTTCCCGAAGGGCAGTGTAGGCACCGTGTTATGACTTTCAGAATGGGGAGGCACAATGGCCCAGATCCGCGCCGGATAAAATAGTTATTATAATCGTTTTGGCTACGGCCAGTATCGAACACAGCTGAGTGAGCGAAAAAGAAAGGAAATGTGCACGCGTGTGCGTTTTCAATT